TGTCAATCTCAAGGACTGTTAGGGTGCTTGGAGGAAAACCTATGCTGAAACAAGGTTTGGGGTTTTTTTTTTTCCAGAAAAAACCTTGAATAGTTCCATAGTTTGATAGGTCAGAAAAAAATAAATAGTTTTTCCAATTCTCCTGCATTCTTCTGTGTATACTGGGCAGATTTGACTACTACTTCTTTTTTAATCAGTCCTTTCCACCAGTGGCAGCAACAGCCTGAGTTAAAGACTGGAGGGAGACACGTGTAACTGTGTTTCAGAAGGGTTTTTCTTCAATCCTATAGTAAACTCTCTTGTCCTCTTCAGATGGGAAAGAAAAAGAAGTGGTTTTCACATACAATACGAAGACCTCTGCGCTGACACTGGAAAATTTAGCCCTGAGTGTTGATGCTGACTGGGAGATTTGCATCAACTGAAAGGAGATGCAACTTCTTCAGAGAATTCATCGAGAGGTTGAGGGGAAATAAGTTGGGAGGACTTAAAATGTCCACTTGAATCCAATCAAATTAAGGAACATATTTCCCACCCACACCCCTAAACTAACATTTCCTACAATTTTGCTTTTAAAGTACTGTTTTAAACTTGCATAGCTCTTCTATTCGGCAACAGTAATGGCACTAGGATTCTATCTTCAGGGAAAAAAAGCTAAATACTATCTGCTGCAGGCTAGCTTCAGTTAAGCATTAAGATTGAGTTCTGCCTTCACTTGCACCAAAATATCATAAATCAATGGGTGAGATTGTGGCTTGTTGGCATGAGGTTTAATGTGAGTATTTGGAAATCCCACTATTCAGAGACTGGAGTACTTGAGAAGAGCAAATCTGGGCCAGTTCGACAAGCAGGATCAGTAGATATGCCAGACGCAGAGGTTATCGTCATAGCACTGCCTGCAAGCTGCCTTGAGAAAACACAGAAGGAGCCACCCAGTGTGATTACAGACACTTCCCCTTTCCAGTCCTTATTACAATGCAAAATTAGGCAGTCTGTACAGGAAAGAAAACAACAGGCTAGCCAACAGTTCAGTCACTGAAGGTAAGGTTTGAGTAGGTTGTGCCAGTCAGCTGTGTGATAGTAAAAGACAGTAATGTGGGAGTGCAAAAGTCTCTCCAATAGCTGGCTTTGAAACTGGTATTTGGATTTTTAAAAGGCACAGGTCTATGTAAGTGCAATACTGGCTTAGGGCTTAGGGTAGCAGCTAGACTCACACAGAAACATTTTCCATGTTATTGCTCCCTTGTCTCTGCAAGTACTACTAAAAAAAAATAAAATTCTTTTGTTAGGAAAGAATTGGCATTTTTCGATGACTGAATGTCTTTGGTTAAAGCCAGCCCAGTGAAGCAACTCTGCTTACGGAGAGCTCTGCTTCACCACATCTTCCAACTCTTGCCAAGGTTGGGCTTCCTTTACACATATTTTAGTAGTTTCTTGGTCAGTTTTTACTATCTGGCTGAGATTTAAGCTTAGTAGTTATGATGCAAATTTTTAATTTTAATGGGATTAATTCTGCAGTTAGTCATCCCACTTCATGCTTATTCCCCCATTCTCTTACAGCTCACCCTAATGTTCCCTTGCCTCCTTTTCCCACCATCTCTGCAAACAGAACTGGTGTGTCCTGATGCTTTCTTCCCTTTCAAAACTAGGAGACATCCCGATTCCCGCATCCCCTACATCCTTTCTATTCCCACAGCCCTTTCCACATCAGGCATCTCTTTTCACAGGCTACCATCGCTGCACAGCTCAAGTTGTTTGCCCCTTCCATTTGCTACACTTGCCAACTATGTTATTTTAGTGCTAGTTCTGCTTTGAGTCAAATCTGAACATGCCATCAGTTGGGTTTTGTGAATGTAAAAGGGCAAAATGTACTTAATTTTCTTTTAGCAAGATGAGGAAGTTACTTTCTAAAAACATCAGTAAATTAACTCTTAGGAAACAGAGAAGGATGGTCACCATTTTTGCCAACCAAAGGTAATGTAACAGTCCAGTTGTACATTGTCCTCTACTCTTCTTACTAAGTCCTCCCCGTGCGTGGTCAGTCATTCCCACCTGCTGCTGTTTCTCCTCTTCAGGGCAGATTTCTGGGAATAGCAAGTGTGAGAGCAAACTGCGACTACTCCGCTCCTGACTGCCAAGCGCAGGTTGTTCCCCACCAGACCCTTAGGTTCCTTCTTTTTTATTCTGCAGAGCCGTTTGTCAGCCCCTTCTAGCAGGCAGTGTGAGCTTCCACTCCAGGAACTGGCAGTCTAAATACTGCTGTGCTTAATGCAGACAAGTTAGTTAATCCAGGTAGAACAGTAGCAAATAGATCTTTTACATCTGTGAGAAGAGAGACAGACCCTATTTTTGAAACAGACCCTATTTTTCTATCAGCTTCTAAGCTTTAATTGATGATTGCTTTTTATGTTTAAGCATAGCAGTGTTTCTGACAGGATATAATTCTTGTCTGGAGCGTTTTAATGAAACATTTTAACTGGTATTTCTGAAGTTGGAAAGTGAGTGAAATAAAGTAATAATGAAACAAGTTATATGCCTTATTCCTTCCAACCTTCTTTCTACTGTTGAGAATCACTACTAAGTATTATTCCGAGGGTACCTGCTTAAAGTGAATGACTAGCTTTTATACTCTGGCCCTCAGTATGATATCTGCACTATAGTAAGTACTCACGAGTCAAACTTTCAGTGGTATGAAGTACCTAACTTCTATGGATTTCCATAGGAATTAGTTATTGAAAATTTTAGCAGTTGTGTCTTTAGATATGAGGAAATAAATTTCAAATAATATCACTTACATTGATATTTGTAGCAACTCACATACTATTCCACATATTTATGCCATAAACGAAGAAAGAAATTCATAGTATACCTTTACAAAAAAGGAAATTAATTCAATGAGTGAAAACAACTGGAGATAAAATTTCATAAAAATTAAAAAGAAAGGTTATCATCCATGTAGTTTACTTTTGTTCTGTCTGAACAGATCAGCTATTGAAGTACTTCTGCTTGCAAGAAATTCCATCGCAAAAGGTGATTTAATTCCTAATGGACAAAAGATTTATTTTGCCATTTGTAGCAGACAACACATCCATTCTTCCCTATGGTAAATTGTGTTTCTTTAAAAACACCATTTGTCTTTTACTAGCAAGCGCTGTTTCTCACAGAAAAGAGCTACGTAACAAAACCATCTGTCCAGTAAAAAATAAGGAGAAGCTGTTTTTTGAACAGCTATAACCACAAAATACACCTGAACATCTGTAAAGAGCAACATGGGGTTAGAATTGAGAAGTGCATGCCCACCTGGAATTCGGTATGCAGGCACTAGCTGAACTGTTAGCTGAAACAGCAGCAGGTCATACCCTGACACTTGCTGATCATCCCAAGAAAAAAAAAGAAAAAAAACCCCACTGCTAATCCTTCACTTGATCCTCCCCAGCAGCCCACAATGAGTTTGTCAAATATCACACCTGTGCTACTTACATTCTTCTCAAAACAGAGCTAGCTCTGTGTACGAGACATAATAGATGAATTAGTGTGTTGGGCAAGAAGGGAGAATATGAAAGAATGAACTTATGCACAGGCCCCAAAATGAGCATTTTTGCTGAAGCTGTGCAGTCAGAGGCCCTTGCATCTCACTGCTTGCATTGCTCTTGAAATATCCTGGAAAGTGACACATGGCTCTGCCAAGCTGTCCTGCAAAGTAATGTCAAACATGAGACCTGCAATCCTTACATCTAAATGTAATGAGGAAGTCATCAGTTCTGCATCTGGACAACCGACCCTGAAACAACTGCACTCCTATTTCCACAAACACTTCAATCTCTCCTTTTCGATTGCCCAGTTGGTGCAAGAAGGCTTGCATTCATGATAAAATAAAGGATTTAGGCCACCATTAGGAGACTGAGGATTAATACTCCTAGAGGTTGGTCAAGCTTGCCAACTATATTACCTTCTTTAAAAGTTCCCCTAGTGGAGTTTTTTTAATGAGCTGTAGATATTGTCTGTTGTACTGTTGATTTGAAATGTGTAAAGCAAGCAAGTGGCTGAAAAAGAAAAAGTAATCAGTGCTTTGGAAAACACCATAGTACTAGGGCAGAAGGTCAGCAATGTGTACATGAGCCAGAGTCCAGAGACTAGTGTCATCTGGCAAAAATAACACTGATGTCATCATGTGATTTAAGACTTCCCAATCAAAGAAAAATCAAGATGTTAGGGGGCTTTTATTGACACATAAACAATGTCACCTTTTAAAGAACTGGGTTATAGAGAAGAGCAATGTGCATTTAGATTTTCTTCACAGAGACTGTGAATTTGTGCCTTATCCCACTGTTGCGTGACAAAATAAATGTGCGAAGTCAGGTGTCTCCTTTAAGATTGGTATATCTTAACACACACAGAATGTCCCGGTTTCCACGCTGGGCCCCTTATAAACTTTTCTGACCCTATATGAAAAGGTGCCTTTTACATGGGAGGTAGCTATTACCAGGTGAATCTTAGTGCTAGCAAGCTGCTCTCTAGAGGAGCCAAACCCAGCTGGCAGGTATTGACCTGACCGCAGTAACATCAAATGACTACCTTTTTCACCACTAAGAGCATGTCTTCAGATAATCCCCTCCACTAGTAAAAAATCTCTGTATATCTTTTCTGCAGCAAAGGGTAGAAACAACAAGTCAAGTACAACAGTTCCTCCAGGAGTGTCAGGACTAGTTTATTGGCTGGCAGTACTTCATAAGTACGTTCCCAAACCAGCAGGAGTTTAGCTTCCAGTTTCACTGTTCTCTCTACTTAAGGAAAAGACGAGCCACTTGCACCAGGAGTCAGCCTACACATGGACCCTGTCCTAGGAACACGACTGGCCTCGGCACGAGCTGCGCAGAAGACTGACACCATCTCACTAACCCCCTCCCTCTCACTTTCCCTCTCTCTCACTCTTTGCCTGTAGTTATTTTTAGATTTCACCGGTTAAAGCTTGTCCCTTCTGGACACTTACACGCACAGGGCAGGCACACACACTTGCTATAGATACTACAACTCAGGCACGGGAGTTAGCCAACAGATTATCTTGTTCCACATCAAGGAATAAATTCTGATTTCTGTCAAGAAAATACTGCCCTTTGAGAGGATGCCCAACGTGCTCAACTGCATGGGATTTTGTTGCTTGCGAATTTGACTAGGAGACTTTCAACAGATAGAAAACGCGGTTTACACAGCAACTTCCTCTTTCCTCGCATTTCCTTCCAGTTTGCAAGATCTTGCTTTCTTTCAACATTTGCTTTAAGCCCGACTCCCATGCCGTCCGCCATAAATGCAGCGGTGGCTCAGCAGACGGCTGCTGGGTCGGTTCCCAGCGCTACTATTAGCACTACAACTGAAGGTGCGGGTGGGGGCACAGGGGGGATTTATTCTGCCATTATAAGTCGCAACCAGCCCATTATCAAAGTAAAGGAGAAGACCTACGAGGAGCTTCACAAGAAGTGCCTGGAGCAGAACATTCTCTATGAAGATCCTGATTTCCCGCCGAATGAGTCCTCCCTCTTCTATAGCCAGAAAATCCCCATCAAGTTCGAATGGAAAAGACCACGTGTGAGTAACATGTTTGCTGAGTGTCTTTTACTTTCTGTAAATTGAAGTATTCACCAGGAGTTTACATTTTTGCAGAAAGTGTGTGTCGGGGGAGGTCTGGGGAATAAGCTGGAAATATATTTCCTTAGAGCTCTCCTGGAAGATAACTAGCTAGGGCTGTGGAAGCTCAGAGAGTGCGTACATAATGACTGAAATACAATAAACCAAAATGAAACAAAAAAAGGAGATGGAATGAAATATGTAGAAAAAGGAATACAGAATTTAATTTTCTTCTTGCATGATTTGCTAGGGATTTTCTTGTCTGAAACTACCAAAGAAAAATTCTCCTCATTCTGCAACAGGTTATTGGGTTTGCTGACGCTTAATTTTTAAACGCTACCTTATTTCACTTACAACTTTAGGAAAACAGCGGAATACTAAAGTAATCTGTGAAAATAAAAGGACATGTTATGCTCTGAAACATGCTTCTATTCAGCTGTTTGTTCTCAACATTGCTTAGCCGACTTGCAAAGGTTGTTTAGCATAGTATCCACTTACCATGACCGTGGGTGTTGTAATCACTAGCGAGGACCCAATCCTACCTACTAATCCCATTTCTTTTTCCTGTCTTGTGGGCATTCCTCAGCCAGCCTTCCTCTTCTTTCCCACCCCGAGTCTCTCACAGGGAAAGGACTAATTCCTCCGTTCCCAATTGATTCCCCGTCCTACCACAGGAAGAATTATCCTCTTTCCCTGTCGTTCCTGCTGGGCAGCTGCTCCCCCCCGGCAAGGCAGCCCCCGGGTCACTGCCTCGGCCCCTGCTGTCCTCTGCCCAGCAGCAAGGACGTGGTTCTGAGGAGCTTCCCCAGCTGCCCCTCTCTGGCAGGTTTTGGCTGCCTCTTCTAGATCTGCCATCCTTCCCCAACACCCAAATGTGTGCTTCAATGGCAAAGTCAGTGGTGACAGATAAAACCACAGGAACGTAACTGAACAGCGAAAGACCGGGAGCTCACGCGGGGAGGTGTTGGAGATGCAGAGGAAGGCCACGTGCTGCTGCCACAATAACAACGCGAGCAACGTGAAGGGAGCGACGCGCGTCCCCCATCTGCTTTGCCCTGTGCATGTGTGCTCTGTCATTCCTTCATCATCACCAGGGCTGCATCAGCCCCTGGAAATGTGTGTGAATGAGTTAAATGCAGCCACAAGTCAGTCGTAAAGGGATGGGATTTCCCCCATTTCAACGGAGGGGAAAGCAATACAGCAGTACAGTGGATGAGTGCCAGCACCCTGGGGCAGACAGACTGTGAGTGGGCAGATGAGAAAGCATCAAAACATTTTAAAAAGCACAAGGTAACCTCAGACTTATCTAATATTACTGAGTATGCACAGATCAAGCCTTTGTTTTGGGAAGGTTCAGACTTCAGGGTCTCTATCCCAAAGATGTTTCTTTAAGCCACTCATTAATGAATAAGTTTGGAAGCTCTATACTTACTACTCATGTAGCAACAACAAGCTGGGGAACATGTAAGACTCAAAATACAACCTAAATATCAAAACCAAAGCTATCTGTGTTCTTTTGACACAAGCGTTCAGCCTCCTGATGTATCTGCGGTGCCAGCTGCAGGTAGAGCAGAGGCAGGAGATCCAGAGAGCTGCAGCCTGCGCCCGCCCAGTACTGCCATGCTGTGGGATCATGGATCCAGTCGGTCCTGACCCTGATGCAGATGGCTGTCCTGCCGGGGACACACCGGGCCTGATTTGTAGAGATGCCCGTGCCTTCTGTTGCAAATGTGTTTGTTTTAAAACAAACCCAGTAATTCAGGTCCCTGCTGTGCCCAGCAGGTCCCCAAAGAGGAGAGACTCACATATAATGCTTTCTCCTTTTATAATGTGTCCCCTACCTTGTCATCTATACCACAATTGCCAAGTGAGTCTTCTCTTGGGCGCTGAGGCAAAAGACCCGTATCTATTGGTGCTGATCTCAGGTTGACCCAGGACTTCGGTTCACTGGACTTTGAAACTGTAAGTTATATAGTACTGGTAGAAGGACTTGTCTGGTAACATTATATACATGAATAGCCACGACAGACACATTAACAGAACATCATAAAGTCAAATTAATATAAAGTAGTAATACTGGGCTAAAGAGTATTTTATTAAGACATTAAAGCAATCATTGAAGTACCGAATTCAAAGATTCAACTGCACAGGCCATGTTTTGTAATAGTCTGTAAAGATACGGATAACTTCTGTTCTTACTAAACTGCAATGGCATTTTTTTGGCAAAGAAAGCAACTAGCTCATAAACTATAGTCTTATAAAGTGATAATTCTTAATCACTTTGAAATTCAGGTCAAGCTTGAATTCAATCAGACTTGATAATGTATTCTAAAAGAAAACAAAATATCCAACGGTTCAGAAGTCCTGAGAGAATATCCTAATACAGGCTTCACTCTAGATCCTTTCCCCGATTTCTATAGCGTATTGTATATGCCACATACACCCAGAAATAGCAAATAAACGAGTGATCAATGTGCTGTAAGACCTCATTTAAAACAAAGAGCTGTGAAATAAATAGGCAACCTGTTCCCCACTGCCTCTGGCTTCCCGAGTCCCCTTAGTCATGCCACCTGATCCATTTGTACCCAAGCTCTAGCCCCGCCACATGAGATTAGTGTATGAGGATGTAATATACATGAAAGATTAATGCTGGCCTTAATGACCATTATTTGCAATGACACGAATCCACGTGGGATTGTTGAGTGCAAGTTTTTCCGGAAGCTCCAAGTGTTATTTGAGGAATCACATAGTTAATCTAAAGGGCACGTGTTTGCCGGTTCCCAACCCTATACCCAAGCGCTGGCGACGGTGCCATTCCTCAGCCGAACAGCGCTTCTTCGCTGTAGCTCTCAGCACACTGTGCTGACATATGGAAAAGCTACGAGTCTACTTTTGCGCCTGGGATTTACGAGGACGTCACAGCAAGTCAGATGCGTGGCTGACGCTCCCCCAATTCCCGGCTCCGAGCCGAGGCACCCGCTGAGCCCGGCGTGGGCAGATCCCCCTCCCACGTGTGGGCTGCCGGGACCTGGGCTCCCTCCGCTTCCCCTGGCGATGGCCGTGCTGTGGGTCAACCTTTTCCTTGAGGCTCCTGGAATTTGTTACTGAGGTGGGGAGAGGTGCCCAGCATCCCAGCCCCACAGCTACCCCTCGCTCTCGGGCGTCTGGCCCTACAGGCTCTTCTTTTGGCAGTCGGGGCTACCCAGAGGTCAGGCCCTCCCCTGCCACCTCCCAAAATGACCGGCCTCCACTGCTGCGAGGGCACGAGGGCTGGTCTTGTGCCTTACCGACAGAAGGACAGCTGCCACACAGGGCAGCTGTGAGCCTTGGCATGGGGGGGGCGAGAAGGCCCCTGTAATTCTACCCAGCTAGTGACTGCCGTGCCACGACATGAATGCGCAGAGCAGACCTCCTAATGCTCAATTCGGGCAAAAGCCAAGTGACAGCCCTGCAAATTTCCCTGGCAAAAGCTGCAGGATCCATCCAGTGTTTCTGTTCAGAGTATGCATGAGCGCGGTTTAGGTACGTAGAAGGGAAATAAAATCCCTCTCAGTTAATGCATGATATTAAATCATTTGCTCGCCCATGGAAGGTAAGAGAAGCCCAAAGACCTTTTCTCACCTGCACCAGGTTATATCCAGCTCAGTGATGGGCTGTGCTCAGCTTTCTTGACAGCCTCAGCCTCCCACACCTATGCTGCCTGCGGGAGCTTCTCTCAGCAGAGAGCTGGGACGAGGTCGTTGATATTTGAGGGTGGAGAAAAGGTCTGTATTATAACATAATGCAGAGTATTGAGAGGTCCTGCTGCAGTCCTGTTTGGATCTAATGACACTAGGACATCTAACAGGAAGGCTCTGCTGTGACACTGTGCTTTCAAATGCACCACTGTCATTCTCCTTGCTCACAGCCAGGAGGTCACAGCATTAACCATCAGATTCGGGGACTTCCTTATGGTGATCCTCTCCATAGCCGAGAAAAATCAGCAGAAATAGCTTTCTTTTCATAACAAATACAAATAAAATCAAGGCAGCAGATTAGTGGATTTTGCTTAGAACGAAATCTAGTCAGATCATCTGCTGGACAGGTGGGAAGCTATTTGAATTTAGTAATCACAGAACGTGCGCCTCTGCAGGCAGTACCACAAAGCAAAGACAGCATTTAGTGTCACCAAGGCAAGACTTTCAGATGAGGGTAATCCAACTCTGAAAACTCTAAAACCAGCTTGCAGCCTGGCAACATCAACCTCTGCCTTGAAGCCTGCAGCACAGCCATTTAATAGCATGGCCTAGACCGTGAGAGGACAAGGGAGAAGAAGCATGAGGCTACAAATTGTCTTAGGCAGGCCAAAGAAGATGCTTCCTCTACTTGATAGGATCAGTTTAGGGAATTTACTTAGCATGCCATAGTTTATTTTAAAGGAATGAATGCCTTTTGCTGCAACAGTATAAGATGACTGGAGGATTTTTCCTGACACAGAAGAAAAGCTAATGAAGATACAACAAAGGTCAAATGCCATTTTTAGTTGCATGCTGCCTTTGCATTTTCCAGTGCTCCCTTCCAACTGACTCATAAGTACCCTCTGCCCAGAAAGCAGCATGCACTACTAATGTTTTTTTTCCTAGGATTCTGTCTCCCTTGCTGTAACTTGGACCCTTTGTAATGAAATTACAGTCCAAACTGAATCAACCCAGTGAACACAAAGGTCCTTTGGATAGTACCAAGGCAGTCTAAGGCACTGTCCTGGTTTTGGCTGGAATAAAGTTAATTTTCTTCTTTGCAGCTGGTATAGCACTGTGTTTTGGATTTAGGATGAGAATAATGTTGATAACACACCGACCATGTTTTAGTTGTTGCTAAGCAGTGTTTAGACTAAGTCAAGGACGTCTCAGCTTCTCATACTGCCCTGCCAGTGGAGGCTGAGAGTGCACAAAAAACTGGGAGGGGACACAGCCAGGACAGCTGACCCCAACTGACCAAAGGGGTGTCCCATACTTATTATGTCATGCCCAGTATATAATCTGGGGGGAGTTGGTCAGGGGGCACCACGGCTCGGGGCTTGGCTGGGCATTAGCCAGCAGGTGGTGAGCAATTGTATTGTGCATCACTTGTTTTGTATATTCTATTATTATTGTTATTATTTTCCCTTCCTTTTCTGTCCTATTAAGCTGTCTTTATCTCAACCCACAAGTTTTACTTTTCTTTCCCCGATTTCTCGCCCATCCCACTACAGGGTGGGGGTGGGCCAGGGACTGAGCGAGCAGCTGAGGGGTGCTTAATTGCCACAACAGGCACTCAGATGAGATGTGACTCTTTCTAGATGAATAATTGTATCAGTGAAATGCAGCCTATTGGGATTCTCTGCGATAACTTGACCCAAGAGATGAAGAGCAATCCCTTGCTCAGCCAGGAAGAGTGGAAGGACAGACCTGCCACCAGCATCTTGAAGACCAGGTCATCTCGCTCTGACTGAGTACTTCTCATCAGCCTTGGAAGACCTTGAAACCTTTCCCTGTAACTTCAACTGTGCTCAGCACAGCTAGCACAGCTGGAGATGAGCTACAGTAATACAATATTAAACACATATCCACAGTGTACTAAACACACCCAGCCACCATAAAGAAATGCAAGAAAAGCACTTCTCTCATAGCTAAATCAGTCCATACGACAATTGTGTGATTCCTTCCTTTGCATTCCTTTACCAACCATCCTCCAAAGCAAACAAGCCCAAGATGCAATAAATTGCTCTGAGGAACAATTATCATTGTACCTTTAATATTTGGAAACACTTAGGCACTTTCCTCTAAACTGAACATGAACTACCTTCATCTAAAACACAGCATGCTGGATTTCAAGTTTGTTACTTCAATAGGAGCAGGATCAAGCTAAAATACAGTAATAAAGGTTGAAAAAAATGCAAACAAAAAACCTGGCATCTCTCAGCTAGTTTTCAGGAGAGCACCACAGCAATGTGAGGAAGAATATTTTCAACAAAGCAAGTGGGTGGAGAAAAGCATGAAGGCATCTCAGACAGCTGCCTTGACAGAACCGGACCCCAGGACAGCTGACCGAGGCCCAAAATAACAAGTCAAATCCTCCACTCCCTCCCTCGAAGAGAATAAGGTGACTGCCAGGGGAGCCGGAAGCTGGTCTCTCTATCTGACTATATGACTAATCCAAATACGTACATCAAAGCAACTCTGCTGATTACTATTGAAGAAGCAAAAAAGTGGGCTCAAGCCAAGTGAAACTACTAGACCTGAAACACGAGTCTGGGAAAATCCAGGGCTACCATGATGACATGGAAAAGGAGCTTTAGACCACAGAGGTAGCATCAGCTGCCTGTACTGCCACACAAGCAATTGCAAGTTGTTTCTTCTCTCTCCTTCCCACTCCAGCTCTGCCATCTTCCAGCAGATGGGGTTCTTGGACTGTACTTTGTCTTCTTCCCCCTTTGCAGCTGCTCAGGGAAGTGGTCCTCAAGTTGCAATATCTTTCTTTCCTTACCCTCACAAGAAATGGGCCCAAAAGTTAAGTGTCTTCTTTTTCTTCACCATACCAAGTATTTGAGTATGAGAGGTGGCATAAAGAGAGACTTTTTTTGTCTCTGTAGGACAGGTTGTACCTACTTCTTCCCTTGGCTTTCCTATACCCCACGGTTCTTTGTCCCATATAGAAAAGGTTCTGTGTAACCCTGCAATAGTCCCACCTCATTTGCTCGTAGTTCCTACGTAGTCCTTCCCTCCCTACTGCAATTCCTTAATTATTTATGCCTGTATAGCATCTTGTGCCCATTCTGTACTAGTATAAATACTGAGAAACCCAGTACATTGTCCTAATGCAGGACAAAAGAAGATCTCCCTGTCCTCAGAGACAGATGATGCCTGTATACATTTCTGAATGCAGCATTGGCACTTAAATACTGCAACATGAGGAGAAGAGTAAAATCTCTTAACCAGCAATTGATTATTCCTGAGTATTAAACATCTGATCCTGGGCAAATTTTAAGGAGGGGTTTTACTTGGGTTCATTCCTGATGGAATGCATTCTTCAACCCTATTAATACCCCAGCATATTAGTTATTGCAGATTGGACACCTTAAACCTGCAGTCATTTTTAAAGACTTTAATCTGGTCCCCTGATGTTCTTTCCACCCACCTGTTCTCCTGTCACCTCCAGTGGTTTGTTTTTTTTCATTGTTGTATAGAAAAATATTTTTCCCTATTCTTCTCATTTTAATGTGTTTGCACCTCATACAGAGGAAGCCCCCCAGGCTAGCTATTAGACCCTGTAGATACATGGAGAAAACTCTGGCTGAAGTCTGGAACATCCAGATTCCAAAACATTTTCGTAGTGAAACTCTGCAGCTGAAAACTCTGCAAGAGATTTTGATATCTGCAAACTATCCTACAGGAAAACATTGTTCTAAACCAGCCTTTATTTCTGTGGCAAACAGGCATCATAATGCATGCTTCTCCTGCTCATCCATCTTTTTATATTTTGCAGGAAATCTGTGAGAATCCACGGTTTATTATCGGTGGAGCCAACAGAACAGATATCTGCCAAGGAGAATTAGGTATGAAATTCTTACTTCACCTCTGCACTTCAAAAAGTCTGCATCATAGTTTAGCTCTCACTTAATTTTCTTTTGCTTCCAAGGAGACATTTGAAGTCCTCTGTCTCAGTATACCACTACACATCTACTAATTCCCTCTCTCTATAGCAAATCATTGATATCTGCCTAGTAGCAATCTAGGGAAGAACTGTAAGCGACAGATGCTTTGCAGGTTGTTTTGATTTTCATGAACTAATATCATGAGTGTGTTACAAAACACAGTTAGGCCTTTCTTTCAGGCTTTGAGGAGAGACAAAATTAGTTAAGACAAGAATAAAAGATAAAGAGAAGGAGTTATTTGACTGAGAGAAAAATCTAATCAGCTACTGTTGTATTTTTTCAGGTATTTGGTCCTGTTATTTCCATACAGGAGCTTCTGAAGGCCTCCAGCTAAGTGTGCCTTGTACTCAAGGACAACCCCTATATTGAAGGCCTTAAGCACAGATGCTCAAAGATACTTTGATATATAGAGCCACTACTTAGGTACAAGTGATGCCTCTGCAACAGTTGTCCATGCAGCACTCACCTGCACCGCTTTGTGAAGTCAGTCCCCTCTCAGCTTTCCCATGTCTTTCACGGTTTTATAACTTCTCCTGTGATCGTTTTCCTAAGCTGATACATCCTAATGTATGTTAATCTTTTCATTTAAGTTTTATTCTGTGCTTCTGAGTGTCCTCATCACCTTCCCAGTACTTTTTCTTTCATTTATTTTATTTAAAACTGCCTTTCTTTTTGAGGTGATCAGAATTTCACAGTTGCCAAGGTGTGGACACAAATGAATTTATGTACATAATATGTTCTCTCTTTTGTCTTCCATTCCTTCCCCAACTACTCATAGCATTTTTTACCTTTTTGACTACTGCTGAACATTGGATGGTTTAGAAAACTCACAGTGGACCCCACATCCTTCCTAAGGGGAAATAGGTAACTTTTAGAATATACTGCTAGATGTATACAGTCGACTTTCCAAAATATATACATATATGTATTTCTATATGTTTTATCACTCCACCAATTTAATAAATTTCTTTTACAGCTCCCTGCAATCAGGTTTAGTATTTACTACCTCATATAATTATCTCACCTCACTAATACACACTGGTCAGGCAAGCTTACCCAATAACATCTCTTACAGTAGCAGCTGGGAGGTTTTAATTAAGGGTTGAGGCATCCTTTGCTGAACACAGAAGTACTATGGGAGAAGGTCACTTTCCCAAAGCTTCCACAGTGGCAGCAAACTTGTGCAAGAGTCTGAAGCAGGAACTGAAAAGCGCTAAAGAAGGGGACAGTGTTTACAACAGCGCAGACACAGATTCAAAATGAGGAAAACATGTCAGAGCAATGAAGCAGGAAAGAGGCCCCACAGAATGACGATTGGGACAGCGGGTTATCTTGAGAGCAGCAAATGAAAATGAGAGACTGAACCTCAGCTGTACAGAGCTCCACCTGCCAGAGAGTTCTCTCTCAGCTGGTCTCTGTCCTAAGCTTGGAAGGGGAACTAGTGAGGGAAGTCAGATAAGATTTCCCTGTCCCATGTGAAAGCCTAACAGAGATAACAGTGCTCATCAGATTGTAGGCTTTTTCTAAATTACAGCAAACATCATCTATTTAACAGGCACATACCTAGCCATGAATGATGCCAATGAGCGTTTCCAGAGCACAAATAAATAAAGTGCTAAAGTACCGCAGAGCACATGGAGAAGAGCCCTCTCCTGAAAGGCGATGGCATGCTCTGCTGAGAATTAACGTGTCATTTTGCAGTATCTCAGGTCTTCCCTTTGATTCTAGTTGCTCTGTTCCTTCATTCTGTCTGCTGCTTCTGCTCATTTACAGGTGACTGCTGGTTCCTGGCTGCCATCGCTTGCCTCACGCTGAATAAAAAACTACTCTGTAGAGTCATACCTCACGACCAGTCCTTTATACAAAACTATGCTGGCATCTTTCACTTCCAGGTGAGTCCCTTCATCTAGCGGGAAGCAGATGTAACTGTATTTAGCCAGGAGAAAGCTCATCTCTCAGTACTCTCTTCCCTCTTGCTCCTCCACCCTTTGGAAGTGTGACTGGCAGCAGGGAAGGAAGACGGATCGAATTGCCTCACCCCAAACTCTTCCAACAGGGCAATCACAGAAAGGCCATCTCATACAGGCAATTAGGGAGCATTAACCCACTAAGGAAGCATTTGCAGATCGCTGTGTCCTGCACATAAGGAATAGCAACAGGGGCCTGGTCCTGCCTCGCTGCTCAGTTGCAGTGCTACCCAGCACAGACATGTGGGTAGTTGGCAAGAGCATCTGTTTTTAGGCCCACAAAACAAGTCGAAAACAAGTTATTGAAGAACCACTTATTCAGAGAAGATTGACTGCTTTCCGCATTTCCCTTGGCTCTCCTAAGGGACCTCTCACTGTCCTGCACGCATTGCCCAAGGGAATTCATTACAGCTGCCCCCCTCCCGACGGCCACCACTTTTTGCCACATTAGGAAGCAGTTAATTTCCACATTTCTGCTCACTTAGCCTGGCTTTTCAGCCAGGCTCCTCACCCCCTGCACCAAGTCAACCCACAGTTTTTTTCTGTTTGCCTTTATTCAGTTCTGGCGCTATGGAGACTGGGTGGACGTCATCATCGATGACTGCTTACCGACGTACAACAACCAGCTGGTCTTTACCAAGTCCTCCCAGCGCAACGAGTTCTGGAGTGCCCTCCTGGAAAAGGCCTATGCAAAGTAAAACAACCTGCTGGACCATGCCAGGCTCCCCACTGAGGCTTTGGCTGGGGATGTGGTTAAACCACCACGTACAGGACTTACAATGAGCACATAGAGAGGCTCTGAACATACCAGTGCCTTTCCCCATAGAATCTCATGCCTCAGAATTGGGGATGGGGTAAAGCATATTTTCTAGGGGGTTTTGTTACTCATTCAGAGGTCTATATTTGATTCTCAACTTTTTTTTTTTTTTTTCATGTGTGCAGGTAGCATGTTTTAAAACTTTTAATTTGTGGTTTACCAAACAGATGGTTTGTGGGTTTTTTTAGTATGTGTGTTTACATACCTGTATTCATACACGCACAAGGTAGATATAAAAACATAGGTAGGTATCTTTATCTGCGTAAAAGAGAATCTTCTTCTTTTCTCTTTTCAAGACTCCATGGGTCATACGAAGCTTTGAAAGGAGGCAACACCACCGAAGCCATGGAGGACTTCACTGGAGGAGTCACAGAGTTCTATGAGATAAAGGATGCCCCTAAGGATATCTATAAAATCATGAAACATGCCATTGACAGAGGATCCCTCATGGCCAGCTCTATTGATGTGAGTCCATATGAACTTTACAGATGAGTCGTAAGAAATGGCAGAGGAGAAGGACCTCTCCATAGCAAACATCCATTTCTAGGAGATGGAGTAATCTCCACTAGACACCACCCATTAGCAAATAGCAAGCACCAAAAGGGAAATGGACAGAAGCAGAACACAGAGGTGGAGAGAAGGAGTGCAATCAGCAAAACTGGCACCCCCCACCCCCAGTGCCCTCGCCCAGTAAAATGAAGTTAATATGGGGCTGCTACAACTCTGTTAAGACACAAATCTTCATGTCAAAGACTAAGTGTGCAAACACGTAGGAAACTCACCCTTTGATTGCCAACATAGCGTCAGATTTTCTTCGTTTATCATGGTAAATTTAAAAGCAAAAAAATTCGTTTCAATAACCATTATGGAGTATGAAGTTGCACCAAAGGCAGGAGGACAACCAGTGCTATCAACCACTGTAGATAAGTATGGACACAATGAGGGAGAAGAGAAGTTATCTTTTACCACTCATCTTTCTTGCATCATTTCTCTTCCCTCTCCCTGCCTCATCTTTCTGCATGACACTTTTCTCCCCTTCTCTGTACCAGGATAACCTAGGCTTTTCCTACGGATCAGCTCCTCGGAGCGACATTGGGGAACTGATTGCTCGAATGGTGAAGAATCTAGAAAACGCACAGATGACTCACTCCACTGTAGACTACCAGGGGACGGATGAGAGGCCAGCCTGGGTTCGTATGTCTCCAGAAGTGGTTGACTTCAGAGCGCTTTTATTTCCAGACAGTTAGAGAAACATATCACCCATGCTTTTAAATCCTTCTTTGGCTTCACTGAATTATCCCAACACTAAAGACTTGTTCTTATGGATGCTATTTGACATATGTGTTAAAAGACTACAGTGCTTTCAAACACAGTGACTGACACTAGAGGGCTTCGCTGAGACTGCCATTAAGATCCTCATTTAAAATGCCTAACAAGGAAACGGAAAAACATGTTGAGTTTTACAAGTGTGATGAAATACAAAGTAACTCCAGCATACCTACATATCTAGCAAAATAAAGAGAGGTATGTTAAAACCATTTAAGAAAAATCCCATATTGGTAAGCTTAAAAGCTTTCAAATCTGTAGAGGGACACATTGCCTCCTCCTTCTCTCTGTCAGGCAGCTGTCATGCGTTGCCCTTTAGGGAGCTGCATTTCCATGACAATGAAATTACATCTCTTGCTTTACAGAGGAAAAAAGAAAACAAAAAAACCCTCCACAATTACATAATCTAAAACTTTTGGTTGTGCAAACTGTCTTCTGCATTTGCAGCAGAAAGAGCTGATTTTTCCTCTTTTGACGTCCATATTTAGTCTTCCTAGAAGACTAAAATGTGTAATTCTTTGGGAAAGCCCAGTATGACTGTCTTGTTTTGCAAGCGTGGCTGCCCAAATCATCCATGTTTTGGGGGGAATTTCCTCCCCAGTGACTCTTTACTGAAAGAAGGTTTCTCTCTTTCTATAGTTGCTGCCCCAGCAGCCATTGTGCTGCTGGTTATTACACACTCCTAAGCCATCACTAGAAAAGAAATCATGACTCTTGATGGAAAGAGGCAGATAGTGCAGGCTTCAGAGGCACGTCAGAGAAGCGACCCAGGGCACCAGCAGAAGAGTGTTTTTAAATAGAAAAAAAGACAAAGGGGTCCTGATAAGTAATGATAGCAACAACACCAGTAGAAATGAAGAAAAGGTGAAATAGATATGAGGTTATAGGCATAAAAAGTATGGAAACAGGAGCAAGAAAAAAAAAAAAAGAAAAAGAAACAGGAGCAGAAGGGAAATAATGGAAAATAATTGCAACAGCCAGGCAATATTTGGATGAGATCCTCCCTGTGCAAGCTGAGAATCTATCTGTGCAACCTTACTAATTCTCTGTTTCTAGCCCTGCCTTTCTCACAACCGCAAATGTGTCAAGAAGGGATAGCAGAGTTACTGGCAGGGCCTTGCAGTCATCTCTCAATAACAGACATAGAGGAGGAGAAGTTTCGCACATGGTCCATGTGCGCGTAGCAGAGCCTTCCCTTCCACTGATCTCGGTGATCTCTCTTACAAGTACAGTGGACTCTGTGCACCTGCACCTTGCTCTCAATTCTTTATCTCCCAGATAAACAGCATTCTGAGATTTGCAAATAAAAATCTATCAGTCACACTAACAGTTGCTTACCAAGAATTACGCCTGACCAACAGATTGCTGAAGAAAGCTATGCCCTTCCTGAATGTCAGTTAGAAAAAATTTCAATCATGAGGATTTTAACTAAAATGTACAGGAAATTAATTTAGAAAATAATAGTGTAAGTTAGTAGGAACAGTGTATTAAATACAGGGTGGTTTAATGTCATTGTGGTAAGATAGCAGCCATGTGTAAAGATGAAAGTATTCTTCTAGGTGTTGATCTGCTCTGATGTTTCCAGTTCATGTAATAACCTTACTGAGCCATACAAGAACATACTATCCCCGAAAGGGCTGAATAGTCATGAGGTAGAAAATCTAATTATTTTAATTAAGTATGCTATAGACTAGCATGTTCCAAGTGCAAAAAGCAGTAACCTACACAAAGGGAAAAAGTAAATCACAAAATGTTCTTTCCAATAGATATTACTAACTTTTTCCTTTTTTTAGTTCATGCTTCACTCCTTTCTAACCAACAACATTAATTCTGTGGGCACTAAGTTTGGCAAGCTTGGCCACCTTGGCAAACGCAAAGAAGAGAATGAGACAAAAAACGCTGTCACTTGAATGGTGTCACCCTCCCTCCAAAAGCCCTGGGTGGCACTACCTGCCTTAGAGCAGCTGGCTGAGCTTTGCGTGACTCTTACAAGTTTTTACCTTGTGTCTAACAGACCATAATGCCAATGCAGTATGAAACCCGGATGTCTTGTGGGCTCGTCAAAGGTCATGCCTACTCTGTCACGGCCGTGGAAGAGGTAACGTACAGTCCCTTCCCTCCAGCTGTGGTCTACACTCGCCCAGCACCATGCATGTCAGCAAAGCTATGAGGGAGGAAAAAAGCAAAACAAATTATAAGCTCAGGAAACAACATCTATACTTAAATAAATGAAAGCCTTGTGGAGAAACAAACCTGTCCAAGTTTTGGCTTTCTGGGGAAATTCCACTGCTTGGGCAAATGTGACCACAGGCAGCCACCTCCTGGTGTGACAGCCTTCCAGCACTCACCCCAGGCAGGTCAGGCAGGGCCATGGCCCAGGAAAGCACCATCACTGGAGGAGCTGGTATCAGCTATTTGACGGGCAGAGCTTTTCCTTTTGAACCTACTCTCAGTCTATTCTTGTTGCGTTCTCTTTCAATTAGACAACATTTAAAGGGGAAAAAATACGTCTGGTGAGGCTGAGAAACCCCTGGGGGCAGGTGGAATGGAACGGACCTTGGAGTGACAAGTGAGTAAAACAGAGCTTCACCTGATTTGGAAAAAAAAAAAATAGTAAAAAAAATTGCAGCTTTATTTGCCCTTATGCAGCCCGTGCATGACCCTAACCTTTAATGATGAGGTATCTGAATTGTCTTTGCTGTCATTTTGACTCATGCACTTTGGAGTTGATCATAGTTGAGTGCTTAGCTGAAGCTGTAAAAAGAAGAGTACCTAAAAGAGGTGTTAAGAGGGGCTTTACTCAATGGAAATGAAGAGAGAACCAAGTCTAATGGCACAGTCAGTCTGATTTTACTGTCTAGCAAGTTCAGCAATGTCCACTTTCAAAACAAGATGTGACAGTAGAAAAATCTTTTAAGTTACAAAAGAACTGGACAAAACAAGATGTCAGTACCTGAACGAGTTTGGATAAAGTTTCTCATTAGGTTTTACTAAAAGGAATTTCAATAGCTACTCCAGCAAGGAGAGCCTGCAAACACTTTTTTCTTCAAGCTAAATAAAATTAACAGTTCAGCAGATTTTTGAGAGCTGCTAAGAGGATGTCTGAAGAGAAGGCAGAGACAAGTAGGGCAATTGCTTTTTTCATTTGGGCATGTGGAAAGGAGGGTAGCAATGAGAACAAATGGCTGCAAAGCTCAAAAAGAAAAATTCTATGAATGTAGCAAGATGACTCTTTGACTTTCCATTCCATGAGGCTTACAGTAAAGAGTAGAAATTTTAATGGAAACTGTATTGCAAATCGTAATCTAACTTGTTTACTCCTTTGAAGGTCAGAGGAGTGGAACTTTATTAACAAAGAAGAGAAAATCCGCCTGCAGCACAAGATTGTGGAGGATGGGGAGTTCTGGTGAGAATGTCGGTCAAAAGCCTGTGCTTCTCTAGTAGATAAGCATCCATAGAAAAAAAATTAATCACACTGCACTACTTAAATCTGCTAAAACCATTGCAGTAATCCCTGTTCCCCTTCATATTCCCAATAAGCCCTGCTCTGCGACCTCCTCATTCTCCCACCAGGGTTTATTGAGTGCCACCAGCAGAGTCCTAAATATGCTACACTTCCACGAGCGCTCCATCACCCTTCCTACGTACCATCCTCTCAGCCCAGTTTCCCCCAGTTTGGAGCTGTAGCTGTGTAAATTGACCAACCAGCAGGCCAAATGCATTAGGAAATCATGGCGCTCCCACTGCAAACTTGCCCTAATAGTGGTGGTATCGTTGGTCACCCTCCTCCACCCCACCAGGATCTTTCAGACAACCACCCAACCGTGTAAATCCATTTGGGCTCAGCTTCCCCTCAATTCCTCCAGGATATCATTTGACGATTTCATGAGGCACTTCACAAAACTCGAGATCTGTAACCTCACACCTGATACTCTGGAAGCCGATAAACTCCAGACCTGGACTGTGTCAGTCAACGAAGGGCGCTGGGTGAGAGGCTGCTCAGCTGGGGGTTGCCGCAATTATCCAGGTGAGCAATGGGTCTTGAGAGATACAGCCTCTTTGATGGGGACCGTGTTAGATCCCACAGGTGAAGTCGTACCACAGCCCGATCAGTGCTCAGCCATAGGAAAAGTTTTGCTTCCTCAGTGGACGAGGCACACGATTTTGTAGCTGGAAGCCTTCTGTCACTATGTTTGTGACAGCACCTTATAAGCCCAAAAGGCAGGCCTGGCAAAGATAAATCATTGTTCAAATACTTCACCCCAAGTAAGATTAAAGAGATCAATTTCACTCTAACAGTTAGATTTCACTTGCAAAATCCACTTTCTGATAGTTTTAGGTGCTTTGGAAGTTTGTTGGATGCTAGTTCTTCATTTTATATGCTCCTTTGCTGTGCAGTTTTGTTAGAACTATGTAAAACCCATAACACGTAAAAAAAAATACATATGTATTAGCCCAATTTTAACCTTTTCCTCAGGAGCCACAGGCAGGGAACTTAAAAGTTATCTCTGATCATGAGTATTGTTAGAAAACTAAAGCTTTACATGTTTGCTTTGGGTTGTTGGTGGGATTTCAGATACATTTTGGACCAATCCCCAGTATCGCTTGAAGCTCCTGGAGGAAGATGATGATCCTGAGGATGAACAGGTTATCTGCAGCTTCCTCGTCGCACTGATGCAGAAAAACAGGAGGAAAGAACGCAAGCTGGGAGCCAACCTGTACACCATTGGCTTTGCCATCTACGAGGTACCAGCTCTAGACTTTGTTCTTCGCACCATGGTCACAAATCCTGACAGTATGCATTTACCAAGAAAGTCACTGAATCATTCAGCCTGATTAGATGAATTGCAATTTTTACTTTGCAAGGGACCCAGAGGAAGCCTGGAAGGAAGGAAATTCAAGGCTTTGTAACCATTCAGACCGTAGTAACCTCAGGGTTTACTCCGTCTATAAGTAACACGCTTTTTAGGCTTTTATAGTGACTTAATGCCAGATTTTAACATATTCTTTCCCATACATTCTTCAATCTCCCTTTCATCCGCGCTGAAACTAAACATTTCATTGGCAGAATAGTGTAAAAAAGGAAACAGACATCCAAGATGCATATGTAGCAATTAATCTCTGTCCCTGCTATCGACTTCATGAAGTCAATTTACTCAGTCCCTTGCACAAACATATTTAGTTCAGATCTTAGTGGACCTCATGTAGATCCCAAGAAATCTAGAAAGGAAGAGAGAAATTGCTTAGAATATTTTTCTAACTTGGGGCATTTTAATTACTGATTGTGCCCTCAGAAATCTATGTGAACGCCCTTCTGTATGATCTAGAAACAAGCGGACTCACCTAGCAGCTCTGACTGTTTCTTCTCTTTGTTTCTCCCTAAGGTGCCCAAAGAGGTATGAGCAGAACGGAGGCAGATTGACATCTTGGTGTATACTCACAGCTAGCGTTACTGTTGTGCTTGTCTGTAAGTCAGCAGGAAACTGTCCAGTCAAGTTTGTTTTCAGGGACGTAACAGAAGTGAAACTGCTAACCTTTCTGCTTTGAGTGTTTGTTAGTAACATTTTGCCAATAATTTTTGGTTCCTTCTCACCCGCGCCCCATTTTCACTTGTGCATGTTCCTCGGTTCTTCTTTTCTATTCTTTGTGAGACCTGGCCGTGGCCGACACGGTCGGTCAGTGAGCCGGGGCTGCAGAAAGAAGCATCAGAGAGCGCTTTGCCTTCGCGCTCCACGCAGAACCATCCTAAACTTTCACTGCCGTTTCCTCCTGCAAATAATGCCAATGGCCTATATCCTGCAGCCACAGAGTTTTCTCTATAGTCTTAGAATTTGTTTGGAAAATCAGTGGTATTTTCAGCCATCGAAGAAAACGTGTTAGAAGTACATAGATTATGTTTTTCTGAGCTTGCCGGTAGCTGAATCATTGGCATCACAAGTTTTGCAAACAAGCTCACCTGACTGATTTGTTACCTGGAAAAAATGAAGATGACAGCCTGAATGTTGTCTTTGCTGACAATTTTACAGGTGGTTATTTCTGCAGAAGACAGCCTGCAAGTGTTCTTAGCCCATAATTCTTGACTTAATGTTCATATTTGAACCAATGCAACGTTTGATTTTCATGTTTCTTTAGCAGATACAGAACTCGTGTTTTGTCCAGGCAAGGACACGTTTCCACTGCAAGCACCTTCACCTTACCACACTGCATGTAGGAGTTGCATATACCATTCCTTGCCATGCCACCCTCTAAGGAAAGTAGCTGAACTTTGGTTACACACAACACAACAGTCAAGTAAAAGTGCCTACATGGCAGAAGTCAGCCAAGGCTCTGCAGGTGGGCCCTGGAGCAGCCCTCAGAAGCCAGCTAGACCCATCCAGTAGTGACTTACAGGTGACAGACTCCGTATCTGTTACCAGTTAGCATCCCTCATCAGCTCCCTGCTTGCTAAGCTGCTGCTTCATTTGTGTTTTCTGTCCCAACCATGTACTGCCCGCATGACAAGCCACCTGGGGAACGGGTAAGACTTCCTTGAAGACAAATTGACTCATTTGTTCTGCAGATGCATGGTACTAAGCACCACTTGCAAAAGGATTTTTTCCTCTACAATGCCTCCAAAGCTAGAAGTAAAACCTATATAAACATGCGAGAAATCTCTGAGCGCTTCCGGTTACCTCCCAGCGAGTACGTCATCATCCCATCAACATACGAACCCCACCAGGAGGGAGAATTCATCCTAAGGGTCTTCTCAGAGAAAAGAAGTCTTTCAGAGTAAGTTGCAAATCCATTTATCTGACCATAAAGATGGAGGTGAGCTTGCTAGTCTGCTGTAGCCATGTTCCCAGTTTGCTACACCCTGCTTTTAATTTTCTTACCCTCATTAGAAACTCCAAGCGGCAAACTCATTTCCCTGAGCTTCCCTTGTAATCTAACAGGAGCCTGCTTTGAATTGTCTTTGGAGAAGCTTACTACTTGCAGGATATCCTTTGTAAACATACCATCAGCGGTTTTTAATAATGAAAATGAACCTATTTGTTTTTTATTGCTGTATGCCACTGGCTGGAGTTTTGGTCAGATAGATCATTGAACCAGACCTAATTTCAGTCACAAATGAAATACAGAAGTAGGTAGTTATTTCCTCTCCGTCCTGCTCTTCAACTAGTTTCCCAGAGCTCAGCAAATTGCAGCCAGTGTCACTCTACTTAGGCCAAACAGCTCCTGTTCTACTCCCTGCTGCCAAAGTTCAGTGTTGTCAAGGCTCTTCTTCAGAGGAGTAAACCAGGCAAGAGCCCTCCTGGAAGTGGTACTTGGGATGCACAGCTCAAACTGGGAAAAACCTATGTCTAGAGCCTGCAGTGGTAATGCTGGGAAGCCAGCCCACAGCACCGGCTGTTAGGAAAGTTCAAGCAGCTGCTTACAAACCAGCTACAGAAACAATCATCGTTGGGAACAGTCACTTTCCCGATTTATTTACTTTCTGCTTTCTTCTAGGGAGGTTGAAAACATGATTGAGGCAGAGCGTCCATCAGTAAGTACTGTCCTCGGCCTCTTTTGTACATGAACAGGGGTAGGGAGAGGAGGAGCATCACATCAAGGAAAACCTACAGCAGGAAACCATTTGCAGCCACATAACAGCTCCTTTAGCATAAATTCCCACATTTTTTCTCAACGTGCTTCTGTTAACACTTGCTTTATATATTATGTACACTACTTTCTGATTTGGTCACACCAAAACATTTGGCCAGATTTGAAATCTGCTCCTGGCATAAAGACAAGGGATGCTAAGCATTGCCTTTGCCTCCATCAATGGAGATTGTTCATTTACCAGGGGAGGCCTAGCTCTATGCTCCAAGATATTTTGTTTGTGAAACTGGTATCTCATCTAATAAAGAAAAAAAGTACTTATTTTGAAGTACATACTTTCTGGAAAGGGACCCTAATGATACTCTGATTCAAACTAGCAGCCATGACAAGCTCTAACTCTTCAGCCTGGGGTCTTACACATCTTTGTGGGAATATACTAGAGCTAACAATACAATTAATCTTGAAAAAAAATCGGAGGAAATGCTCTTGCACAGAATTGAGGTCCATCAAACCTTGCTCAGAAGTATTCCCCTTTCATTTGCTGTCATGATAACAAAAATATTTGTCCAGATCTGGTGGAATTTAATTGCCACTTCAGATAACAGACCTGTGGGCACCAAAGTCCAATCTCCACTGCATCAACAGGTTGGGAAAAAGAAAAAGGAATAGTCAGAGCTAAAGGTACAATAGAGATTTTATTCAAGCAGACAAAGTCCCAAATGAGATGGGACACTGTTTTGCTATGGCTTCTGCAATTTCTGTCCTTCAGTATGCAACTTCTTGGTGGGTACATTTTCCCTCATTTTTGGAGATTTGAAAACTGTATGAATATAGGAAATGGGAAAAAACTGTATGAATATAGGAATGGGAAAAATAAATGTAAGAAAGGGCAAGAGAAAAAAAACACTTTACCATCAGCTCTGCATAATCTGGGTAAAATCTATAATTCTGTTTAAAACCACTTTTTTTCTTTAATTTTGTCTCTTTTTGTACAGAAGAAGAAAAAGGGCAAGGTGGGTACTTGCACTATGTGCTGAATGCCAGCAAAGCAAGGAGCACGTGCAATGCATGCAGCAGGAGCAGGGTTCCTTGGTATCATGATTTCTCCGCATCTAGAAACTGATCTAGTTAACGAAGGGCACTGGATAAGAGGGCACTTGCAGGCAGCAAAGATTTTGTCTTCCTACACTAAATTCTAATGACATAGCATTAGCATCATAAACCCCGCTCACTCAAGGGGGTGGCAAAAAGCTAACAGAAACTTTTCAGCTTTAAAAGCTTGATCCTTTGGGTTGCTCAAACTGCCCTTCCTGCCTGCCCCTCCACAGGCACCCCAACACAACCTTTCTAGTGAAAATCACCCCTTCTCCGGACACGTGCCCTCACATTTGCTATTGCTTAATGCAGCTACTCCTCGTTCCTGAAGTTTCTGCTCACCAAAGTCCAGGATCCTGCTTTCCTTTCCACACAACACATTTAGGACCTTGAAAATGCAATCAGACATTTTTAACCTCAAGACAGGCTGATTGCAATTAATACTCTAGGGCAACACATTCGCATCTTGTAGCGGCTTTCCTTGTTTTAAATGCACTAAAACAGAGCAGTTACACATGGCTGCTTACAGCTGAATGCTTCAAGGATTAATACAGAGAAAGAACATATATTTTGCATAACTAACAAGCTCCTACACAAATACTCCTTTTCTGTGTAGGATTCAGATTGTTTGTTCTCAGTACTACTGTCCTTCATAGAGGAGCAATTTTATCAGTTTAACTGAGAATTGAGAATCTGGGAGGCTTATTTTGCTAAAACAAAAAAAAAAAACCCAAACAAAACACCCCCCCCAAAAACCCACAACAAGCGCGTTTAAACAGTTACTGACTTTCTGAAAAGGAAAGCTAGAAGCCAGAGATTGCACTATTTTGCAAAAAGACTTTTGCAGCTTTTTTAGCACGAGGAGAACAGTAACTTCAGAAATTCCTCCACCTTTTTTTTTCTTCCTTTGCTTTCATTCCCAGCTCTGGCTTCTCCAGTCATGCTCTCAGGGGTGGGAGCTGTTGCTGCATGTGCTTTACCACAAATGGTTGTCACCAACTATTTTCGTTTCCACATCTTCTTGTGTAATTTCCATTTTTCTTTTGCTCTCTTCCTTCTTCTTCTAGCCTATCATCTTTGTTTCCGACAGAGCAAACAGCAATAAGGAGCTGACAGCAGATGAGGATGCTGGCAAAGATGGTGAAAAAACCCACATAGATGAGAAAAAGGTTTCTGCAGCAAGTGGCAAAGGGGGAAATAGGGCTTGGTCTGGCTAGCATGACAGCGGCTGGGGGAAGCACAGGAATGGGGCAACGAAGTGTCCTAAGATACTTAACAGCTTTACATCAAATCTTAGCATAACTTGCGTATGGTTTACGTGGATCTAATGAGCATGACACAGACTATCCCTTCAGTTATTTAACACGTGTGCTGGAGGATGTAGTTGCTTGAAAACTACTCTTGGTTGCTCTCTCATACAAGGATCCCCACTGTGACAGACCTTTCCCCACGAGCAGCGCAGTCCAATCCACTCTCGCTCAGCCCCCTGAAGCGGTACATACATAAACTGTGCCTGAGGGGCTTCAGGAGCTCCTGGCAATGATCACAGCCTCCCCCACTACAAGTTACACATCCCTATACCAGTCCCCACTGGCCAGAGGGGAAAAGGATGAGCAAACCCAGGAGCTCCTGCACCCCTCCTCTTTTCTCTCACTACCGGAGAGGAGGAAAACAGGGTAGCGAATGCAGGGTTTCTGCGTGCAGGTGGGTGAGGGACACAAGATGCAATGGCCAGATCCTGCACCCAGGCTCATGGCATCTGGAGGCATGGCTTGAGTTGACAGCAAGCGTGCTGTTCTGCTGCACGGCTGCCAGAACACGCAGGTGGCAAAGTGGGAACCAATCCTAACTTCCCTCTGCATTTAGACAAACAAAAATAAGAACTAAGCCAAGAAATTAACTTTGTTACACATAATTCCTGTAATTTCGGGGGGGGGGTGTAAAATAGAGTTTCCTTTTTCAGTATCAGCCTCAGAGTTCAGGCTTGCTCTTTGCATGTGTCTGAGAAAGCTTCACTTTCATCATTTGCCTCTGTCTCTTGTGCTACTTGTCTCCAGCAAGGGACCCCCCACATTACAAAGAGCTCTCAAGCTCAAGTCCCTCTGGTCAATTCCGAGCCTACAGGGCAGCTATGGAGCAGATATGCCTCTTCTGCTCCAAACCTCTCCTTTGCAATGTTTTGAAACAAAAAAAAACTAGAAGATAAACATCTGTCAGTGAAAGTAACCCTTTAGGCTCTTTCCAAAAGATAGGAGAGCAATGGGATGAAGTTAAATACTCAGCAGTTTTGCCAAGGAATACATTTAACCAAAAAAAGGGGAAATGAACAGGAGGATGACCTGTTCCTCCAAAGACCTCCAGATTCACTAAGAGGCTCCCTCGTGCAAAGGTGAGCGAGCCGTCCAGGCCCTTTCCCTTCCCTGCTGGGCTAAGAATGTGTCTCTTCTTTCCTTGTCTCTTTTCAGCGTCCTTCAGCAAAAGCTCGTGAGAGGAGTGAAGAGGAACAACAGTTCAGGAATATTTTCCGACAGATTGCAGGGGATGTGAGTACGCAAACAGATCCCTGTGTCTGCCATCAAAGCAGCCTAGCCACAACAGCACCTAAATCAACTGCTTCACAGATTCAAACCACTAAATTTTAAAATTTCCTTTGAGATTTGAAGCTAAGCAAAACCAAATCAAAATCCAATTAAGTATACAGCTATCCTCGTATGTACATATACGCTATTCCCATTGTGTACGAGGGAGCCCGATTTAAATTCGAGCTTTTACTTCTATCACTACCACAAGATGCTATTTTGCAAAGCATGTATAAACAAGTTAGAAATGCAATGCCCTCCAGTACGTGCTTGACGAGGGAAGTTAAAATTAAAAACAGATCAAAGAACTGCATAAATCAAGATGCTGCAAATGGGTTACAGGGATTTTTGCATTTTGCTTTTTGGCTTATACAGTGGCTTGAAATTACTGGTCATTCTTCTAGTTGTAGTTTAATAAGCACTATATGGTAACTTTAGACCTACCTTGTACTTCAGCCTCAAGAAAGATTTGGACTAATGTTTATAATGACCTAGAACGTTCTCTAGTTTGAAGCATATATATGCCATACTGAAAAGTGACAAAAGACTTCATACTTTTAGCATATCCATCCATAAAATGATCTGCTTCATAAGGAATGTTGTAATTAATGATATTCTCACCACATTTCCCACCAGGACATGGAGATCAACGCTGAAGAACTCAGGAACGTTCTCAATAATGTTGTAAAAAAACGTGAGTTTGACCATGTTTTTTCAGTAACCCTGGACAAAGAAATCTGTGGTATAATGTAACCCTCCACCCCTGAGCTGCACTCTAAAAATTATTTATGGTTTCAAACTCACAAATTTCCTACTTACACTTCCATGGACTTTGCATCCGAGACTTTTGCAAGCTGAAGTTTTCATAGAGATGCTCTCTATGAGTGACCAAGTACTGATAACACAGAAACGAGCAAACGTTTATTGGAAGCACCACACAGGATAATAGAGCATTTCTAGCAATCTGCAAATGCCCTTTAAAAAAAAAAAAAAAAAATCTAATGGAGAGGCAGACTTTTCTCCCTGTTTAGCAAACTTTAGCCTACAGACCCTGGGCTTGTTTAGTTACCTGGAAGTTAGTTTAGAGTTTTCCACAGGTTTTTATTGTGTATAACAGGTCAAGAAAAGTAATCTCTAATTCACAAGCAATAACATTACTTAGAGTCTTTTCAAATTTCTTTACCATTCATTTCTTACTGGATGAAGGAAGTAGGTTTGGCTTCTACTTTGAGTAGAGTTACATCTAAGAGGAAGAAGCACTTGCTGTCTTGCATGATCTGTTTTCACCTGGGATCATTTATTTCAGATAAGGACCTAAAGACAGAAGGATTTGAACTGGAATCCTGCCGCAGCATGATTGCTTTAATGGATGTATCCTTTTCTGGTGAAAGAGGAGTGCGTGATACCACACTAGTCCACCCAGGTTGTATTTCCCACCACTACACACACAATTTAGTAAGTAAGCCAGGGAAGCAGAACAGTACTTTATAGTGCATAGTCAGAGAACACAGCATTCCTGGTTTGGCACATCTTAACTCCAGTCATCTCAACATTACTGTAGTTGGCAGATGAAAATATCCCAAACCAGAAAACTACAGAATAAGTCAGTCAGTATGAGACCCTTCCTTAGGTGTCAGCAACTCATGTACTAAAGCATGATTTTTCAAAAATTTTTTTATAAACCAACTCAACCTAACTACAGTTCTTGCCAACAAACTTACTGTATTTCTCTCTTAAGTTTATAATGTATTATACATTCCACGGTGTGTTTAGCATGCAACACATACAGAAATTGCCTCAGAGCAGGTATAATAAAACACACTACAAGTTACCATACGGGGTTACCTCTGATCAAACAGGAAAACTGAGGGATGTTGTATGTAACACCTGATTTTGAGAGAACATAAGCACATTCAAACATAACCAGAAAAAAATTGTAATTACAACCCAGAGCCATAATGTTTGGAGCCTGAACACAATTTTGTAAATGGCTTAGTCAACATTTTGCTTAGTTCTCAATTAACTTTAAGCAAGGCAGAAAGAGCTTCACTCTAGGATAAAGCTCAGTTTTCTTACAAAACATTGGGTAAGCTTCACATTTGGAGGTATTTGGAAAGAGCCCACTAAAACATCCTGCTTGTGTACTTTATAATAGCTCCAGAAGCAAGCCTCTCTCCTGTACCAGATGTCTGCTTCTACACAAAGTACAAATAGTACTTCACACTCCTCAAACAAAATACTATGCACAATAACAAAACCATTCACAAATATTTTACTGCACAGCTCAGCCCACTCTTAATGCTGAGGAGATCCTGAACTCAGTTTCACATTCATCCCTTCACCAGTAGTTGCAGACTTAATTAATTTTCTCTTAAAAATATTGTGGTTTTTTTACCTGAATGTTTGCATCACAGACAGATGGCTCAGGGAAGATAAACTTTGATGAGTTTCGACATCTCTGGGACAAGATTAAAAGCTGGCAGGTATTGCTGGTATCCACAACACTGTTCTTCACAGCTTCTGCAGTGCAAAAGCTTGTGTAGGAAAACAAGAACTCTCTACATACACTACAACAACAAAAAAAACCCTAAAAAAATTACAAATTAGCTTCTAAAAAGAAAAGTAACGTTTCTCCTCATCCTACTCACAGCCCAAGCAAATAACCTGAATCTCTGAACCTCCAGCACTCGTATAAGAACTTCCCCCATGAGAACAGTACAGATGCATGCAAATTGAGAGGAGGAGGAGGATGGGAACTAGAATCAGGCCTCACAAATAGCTTAATTAGGACAATCAAGAGAGAGGATTAACAGCATAAACTCAAGTCAAACAAGGAGAGTCTCTAGAGGAGAGCTTTTTGCTTCTTAGGGCATGGATCTAAATTATCTTACTTTGTGACGGAGAGGAGCTGTTAACAACTCAGACGGCTCAGCAGCAGCAACGTAAGGCAAATGGCAAAGCCTCCAAGTGCCTGAGGCACACATCCCATATCCAGTCAGTGGGTACATTCAACAGGAGCACAAGCTTTTATTTCTGTTGTGTATTTATTTGTTTTCTTTTTCCAGAAAATCTTCAAGCGTTATGACACGGATCATTCAGGAACTATTAACAGCTACGAGATGCGCAATGCAGTCAAGGATGCAGGTACTTCCCCCAGTGTCCAGTGCCCAACAGCTGAAGAGACCTTATTTTGTTTGATGTATCACAGGGTGAGATCAGGAACATAGTGCTGCCTTTTAAAGACAGACCCTAGAGAAATTAAAAAAATTTTTCTTTCACCCAGCAGAGGTTCTCAAAAATCCAAATGGCAAGCCTTGTATGTCTGTCTTGCCAACCAAATAGATCTCTTCAGCTCTTTAAACTTTATGATAAATGACGCTCTGCTGTCTTAAGGATCTCCCACTTGGGGCCCAGCTGTTCAGGGGGACCAGGGAGTGCTGAAGACATTTGCTCTCATTTAAGCTGTGGATTCTTTATGTTTGTGTAAATAACAAACAAAGAACAGTGGAAAAACTTCAACCCAAGCGTACAGGCACTGAGCAGGTCAATGTCCAAGTTTGCATCAGAGGCAACTGGACGGACATTTCTTGAGTCCTGCTCATGTTTCTTAGGCACTAAGCCATTGGGGGCTGAGTCTCCTCTTCTACCTGCGCAGTGAGAATAAAGTATTTCTGCAAAACTTGCAGTTAATGAAATTTGTCCTGCAAAGAGAGGCTCCTGACTTTTCTTGCTTCTTGTCTCAAACACACTGGTGTGCTTCTTCCCCTGGACAGCAGGCCTCCCCCAGCAAATGTCTTTACCAGCTCTGTAACGGAGCAAGATGACTTCTTTAATCAGAAAATCTGTAGTATCACTACAAACGTAGATGGGGCGATTTCAGTGACACTTCATCTTCAGTAGTATTTTGGCACATCAGTTACCAGTTCATCAAGGAACAGAAACAGATGGCTATCTTGTACTTTACAAAAGATCAGTGATTCGATCCTTTGCTAAGGGCAAAACTACACCTGGATTTGGACTCCTGCTGCAGTAGAAATACAGGTCATTTTTATTTTCCAAGTTTCCATTCCCGCCAGGAAAGCTGTCAATCCCTGACTTTAGAACTAAGAACACATTTTGCAATAAAAATTTCTCAGTCGTACAGCACGTAAGCTGTGCACGACCTTGCATTTAGCCAACAACCAGCAGTACCCAAATCTCGGCAGACCCTTTACGAAGTGCAGTCGCACGCTGCAGCAGCCGGTGCCACAGGTCGGTAACGCCACGCTCAGGAGTCACCTCCTTATCTATTTTTTGGCCACTGTGTACCCGTGTTGTTTTCATTGCAACTTCCTCCTACGTTTCTGTCGCCCGGTTTTCGTCGCTTTGCTCTTACCAGGCTCAGCTAGGCCGCAGACTCTTTGGTGTAGACCTCTCCTCTTCACACTTACAGCATGAGGTGACTCGCTTGCCCTTGGCCCTCCCAAATCGTAATTTAAAAACGTTACTCCTGTTTTAAGAAAGCAGCTGGACAGAGGGAAGCTCCTTGTAGCTTCCCTTCATTTTATTTAGCGGCTGCAGCAGTAGCCTCCACCCTGAGCCCCAGCTGGGCCCCGTTTCTGGTCCTCCGCAGGGTTTCGGCTGAACAACCAGCTCTACGACATCATCACCATGCGCTACGCCGACAAGAACATGAACATCGACTTTGACAGCTTCATCTGCTGCTTCGTCCGCCTGGACGCCATGTTCAGTGAGTGGCTGCCCCGGTTTTACTGCGCTGCCTCCCCGCCTCGCCCCCAAAACACACTGTCGTACTCAAAAAAGTTTGTTTAAAGCACTGCTGCCTATATATAGTATTAATAATTAAAGATATGTGCTCAGGGAATCTAAAATATGACAGCCATCTCATACAAACACAAAAGAAACCACTGCATTTCTCCTAGCTAAGGAAAAACACAGCAGAAATACTTGCTGAGCACATAAGTAAATACCTGCACAAGTTTGCGTAACAGAACTGGAGCACAATTTAGTTTGCTATCTGGGATCATCTTTACACAAACAGTAATTTAACCTACTCCATATATTTTTGTTTCCTTGCTTTAGGGGCATTCCACGCCTTTGATAAAGATGGAGATGGCATCATTAAGCTCAATGTCCTGGAGGTAAACTGCTTTATGCCAGTATTTCTAACACAAGGTCACATACTAAATTTTAATCATATTATTCATTGCACATGTTCTCAAGGGGACCTATAAGAGTTGGTCTGAAATCGTCATCCAATTGGTAAGAGGCCACAAAAGCTCCTAAAAATTTCGCTACCAGCTTTACACAGAAAACACCCATGATCCGCCAGCAACAGCTGCTCTGTAAGACTCCAGTTGGTGCTGAAGGGCACAGCTGCGGACTCTTCAGATCATCTTTAAAGTGCTACAAAATCTTTTGACTTTTTTTTTTTAATAAGGCCATTTAAATCAAACATACTGATAGGGCATTATATGTTAATGGGGTTTAACATAGTTCTTTACCTTTTGAAAATCTTATTAAGACGACTTAGGAAGTTTCAACTTAAAAGCATGTCTTCTGCTAAGGAGATCATAAAAAAAGTCTTCACTTGTTGCAAGGGAAGGAGAAATAGGAGCAAGAAGCCCAAGACAAAATTCCCCACTGCCACTGTGCTTCATACTAAGCGTCAGCAAGCAGCTGCCTTCCCACTAGAGAGGGCGGTGTCTCAATACGATTTGTTGGAGGATGCCAACAAGTCTCCCATCCTTTAATTTTTAACTCTTCTTTCAGTGGCTGCAGCTCACAATGTATGCGTAAGACCAGAGCCAGTGGCCACCTTCATCGAGAACACACTCAAGACTTCTGTTCTGCGTAACTAGCTCCATTCATCCCGAAGTGCAAACAAGACCACTTCCTAATTACATGTTTTGCTTGCCGAGGGAAACAGCGCATGGGAAGAAGCCTTTGGAAAAAGAGACAACCATACCCCAGTAGGCAGACCAGTGCGCATATTCTGTAACTACTTTTATAACTTCCTGACATTTTCCTTTGGGCAACAAGGACTAATTTATTGATGACTGGATTAAGCTTTTTCTGCATGGTAAATACATGGAGCATGCATCGCTGTTCTGCTTATGCTGACAACTGGAAAAGTCTTCCCTCAAGTCAGGCAAAACTGGGACTGCATCTGAACTGTGAAAGTCAGAGGTGTTTACTACCCCCTGTACCTAGTCATTAACTCTTTGTCCTGCTTTTGATACTATAATTTCAGCCTCTTCACAATGGTGACTGAATGTTTCATATGAGATTATGCTAGATCACATTACTATTACACATCTCAATCATGTTGTCCTAGATGCGGCTGCGGAGGTGGTTCTCTGCTACGCCAGAACCGTGGAAGTAAGGCACAACAGACTGCAATCCCTAGGTACAGCTCGGTCTAGTGCCTCAGCAAAAGTATCAGAAGTGTGCAATTTGCTCTCATTTTGAGTACCCCCATTGTATCTTAATTACACATTGGACATTTTAAATGTTTTTTATCGTAACTGCATTCTCTGTAACGTTGAGAAAGTTGTTTCCCATTTGAGACAGAAAACCTCTTATACATACAAATTTATGTATCTACACACACTTTCCCCACCACCACACACACACACCTCGGGGTCCTATTTCCTGACAGTATTGTGTATTTTTTTATTGTAACAGGTGACGTGTAGCAGAATCAGACACTATGTTAGCATGATCACATTAGGAATATTATTCGAATGTGCAAGTACAATTAGTTTAATTGAACCGAAAATAAAACCAACTGGATTTTGGCCTAAGCTTAAGGGTTGTTTTTTGTTTTTATTTTGAAAGAACAGAGGAGGATGAAACATTGAGCACTCTTCCACCATTCTCCTGAATATACAGCAGCTTTTGGAGTTTTATGGCAAGCGTGAAATCAGCTTAATCTCTCAAACACTTGCCCGTTTGCTCCTTGAATGCATTAAAAAAAAAAAAAAAAAGCGCACTTCAGCTTGAGAGGTTCCATCATTACCAGGTTTAAGGATGACAGGCTTTCAGAACTGGTCAATCATCAATCAATATAAAAATGGAAAGAAAAGAAAATATACAAAAAAAGGTGTGAAGAGACCAGACTTTGTCAGGAGAACCTTCTACTTCGTTCTCTAGTGGTAAAGAGTAACAAAGCCATCCACTGTTGTAAAGCAAAATTGTGAAACCAAATCATAGCACCCACTCAAAGTTATTCTGTTAAGTAGCACATTTAACTGAAAGGTCACTAAGAAATAGAAAACCTTTTGACTATAAAGTTCTTAATGTTGTCTTGCACTGTAACTTACTCTGAAAGAGGAAGAAAATCCTATAGTTTATATAAAGAGTTATTTTCCTTTAAATTCAACTTTTATTTTAACCCAGGCCACGTTTTTAAGATGACTGGAACACTAGGAGCCCTGGGCTCCAGCCATGTGTTACCCCCACTAAGCTATTATTTTCCATACAAAAAATATGGCAGAGATGGTCTCAGTTGGGATGTTAAGAGAAAACCAAAATCTATCAGTCAACAGATCAAAATGAAGATTTTTGACTGGCAACTCAAAACTGCTCCTTAAAGTCCTGGTGAGTGAACTACCAACTTCCCTTTGCAACAGGCCATGAAGCAAGGGAGTCAGTACGTCATCTTGGAGGCACCAGCTGGGTGGACACTTTCCATTTTCCCTGTCAAACGACTAGGTCCGAGATTCCTGCACACTGGAAGCAAAAACTTGCAACATTCCTGTCAGTGCTGGAGCTTCAAAGTGGCCTGTCTGATTTTTCCCAGCCTTCTTAAAAAAGTGAAAAATCCAGGACAAAGTCAAGTTCTACTGAATCCTGTAAAAGAATCATTCTATTCAATACAAAGAAGAATCAGACTGACAAACCATAACAATATAAAGAACTTTTATTTTTCTTTTTCCTCTTCCTTTTTTTCTTCTATTGCTGTGTAAAGTTTCATTATTATGCTCACAGCTTTGTACCAAAGTGAGAGAAGAAAACCATGGTCAATCTGTGCACATGTTCTACACAGCTTAAATTATTAAATATTCAGTCATGTTGTTTTATTCCACTTCCATTCCTCAAAAAGACTGTTTAACACTTAACAGCAAAATGAAATTTGAGAAGCTGGCAGGTGCATATAACGGAATATATATCTACACAGTTTGCTCTTTCACAATTAAATATTTTACAAACAGCAGCTGTAACTGTTTCCTTATCCTTCCTTACATACTGCAACTCCGGACAACTTAGACTGTTTGAATGATAGTACCGCACAAGCCAGAAAACCAAGATTCATCTGTACCTGTGTTTTAATACAAAAGAAGGGAAAAATATTTTCTCAACACCACATTTTTGTTTCTGGGAACCTGCAGTTTATTGCGAGTTTTCAGTTATTGTTTACCTTGATCCAGCATTATTATGCATATTTTCAGACTGTACAAGAACTGCACTACTTCAAACACACCGCATGGCCAAACTCCTGCTATTTTGCAGAAGTCAGCTCATGTGCTGATAACATGTTTAAAGTCTGCAATCCACATGTAAGTGACAGAAGGCAAGCAGAAGCTGAGATATTTAATGCATCTTTGTACCAATGGATACAGCATTTTTCCGTCCAGCCCCTTACACATACAGAAGCAGCAGTATTAGGCCATAGAGTATTTTGCACTGCCAGTTAGCTGTTATTTTTCCCTGTGATTTGGAGAAGAAAGGAGCAATGACTATAGACCAATCCGAGCATTGTCTTACAATTCAATACATGTGAGGCTATTGGGGTTGGGGAAGGTTAAGCTTTGCAGCACGTGAACTTTAAGTGATCATTTTATGCTACTCCTTTTGGAGCTCGGGCAGGGCTTGGTATGCCTATGGCACAACAAGTTCTCATGCCTTTGAAGAGGATGATATAACTGGTTTCAGTAGCACCTGGCCCATTCTTTATATCATTAAAGCGTACAATGCCTCTCGGCACTTTCTGTCTGCTGGGGAGGCTCATAGCTTAACAGGCGCAATACCAGTCCTGCTAAGAGGAAAATGGCAGCTTGCCCCGCAAAGGGCCTGCCATATGTAGTCAGCCACATAGCAAGTCCAGAGCTCATTATTTAACATTTGACTAATAAAATCAACACAGCTAACCAGAAAATAAACCCTTACTCTACTCACTCTTCCACCCACAACTTTTTACTTGCATAAAAAACAAACTGAAAACAAAAATAGTCCTGAAACAAGCTACAGATGTGCAGTACTGCTTTTCAAGCAAATATTACTCCATTAAATTTCACAAACAGTCTACCTTCCCAAAGTTATTACTCTCTTCAACTGGAGGTATATCAGGAATCAAAACCCTAAGTTGCAAGACCAGAGAGGATCTCATTAACAGCTACCAAGCCAATACATAAATTTGGCATCTCTCTTCTGCAATTGCCTCTGGAAGCAGTGAACGGCCAATAGTGAAAGCTGCACCGAATTCCAGCTGAACAAATAGGATACCTCCCCACAAAACTCCAGAGAAGCCTGGGGATTTCCACAGTTGCACAACAACTTCACAGCAAATCCTTTTAAGATATCCTCAGACAAAGCAGCACAGCATTTTTGTCTGAGCCCCTGAGCGATTTTTAAAATGGTTTTTAATTTGTGAAGCAAAATTTTATAAACACTCATGCAGCTTTGCTATTTTCCTGCCTCTTATGCATTTTAAGATTCTTACAATATCTGCAGTGACCTACAAAGTGGCAAAAGACACCACTGCTAAAGCTGGATTTCAGAAGTCCAGACTTTTCGGGAGGACTGTTTTCAAGGACAGATAAGGAAATATCATGGAGTACAAGAAAAGGAAGTCTGCTTCCACCAACTAGAAAAGATAAACCCAACAAGCAATCAGGAATGCAAATAAAGTGTAATAACTGTGTTTGTTGCAACACCTAGTGAGAAAGATCTTTACACGTTCCTGAAAACAGCTGAAAGAACGTGAAGAATCACAAAGAAGAACTAACAAAATCTACTCTCAAACACCATTTTTCAGAATGCTACAATCACTCCACATGCTTGCCCTCAGGACACACTTCCACACCTTCACTTCAAACACAGTCTGTGAAGGAGGACAGCTTGAGATGTTCACATTGTTTATGCCACACTTTTACATGCTCCCTCATCGTGGTTCAAAAAAAACCCAGAAGAACTTTTGAATGTCAGTAATTTTGGAAATGGTTTAAGTATTATGCAGCCTTCTGCTTTTAGGTCATGAAAAAAACAAGTACTCTTGGAGACTTTAGAGCAATACAGCCTGCATCAGAAAACATTTACACTGCTCAGAGATTTCCCTGAACTTTATTCTCTCTTGAATTGCTTCATCCACAGACCACAGAAAGAAATTAAAAAAAAAAACAAACAAAACCAAACAAAAACCCCAGACACACACCACAAAAACCCCAGACACACACCACAAAACCCAAAACACCCTCAAAAATAGCTTGGGGTCTGAGCCACATATTGGGTTTTTTCCTGTCCACAAACAGCTTAATAAAAAACCCCAAACAAATCACCACAAAAGCACTGGAACCTCAGAGATTCCCATGTCTGAAGTAGGATGCTACTGCATCTCATTGCTACTTTACTCCTGTCTCTCACAAAAAAATCATCAACGTCAAGCAATTACAGAGAAATTATGCTTGTACGCTAAGACAATACAAAAATAGTGTGCTTCAGAGAAGGCCCTGAAGTTCCTTGATTTGATGGCAGTGGAACATCCATGGGCTTTCCTCAGTCACTTTCTTGGCCTAAAAAGGCTTCTTTATAGTCAAAGAACGAGGCTATAAAACTTATTTGGTCTATGGTTGGCATACCAAGCCTCAAAGTAGTGGTGAAAGAGATGCCCAGTAAAAATAGTACAGTCAATTTGTTTGAAAAGCGCTGGGTTCATTTATAAGCAGCTCAGTTTTGACACTGGGCTGTCTTTACCTTCTGTTACAATTTAAGGAAACCTCTGCTTTTTTTATCCTGACCAGCAAGTTAGGCAAAAGTGAACAAAAAGCTCCTTGCTAGATTAGTCTCATTGTTTAAG